ATTATAAATATAATAATTTAGAAATTTATTTTTAAATATAAATTATTATTATTTTTTGAAAGCTACTAGTTCTATTACATTGTAGTATCTGTTCATATACTTTCTCAACCTACTGAAACACAAAGAACCAATAACGCCTCCACTGAGGCTCGAACTCATAATCTTCCAATTGGAAGTCCAACTCGGATACCATTAGACCACATAGTCCTGGTAAATATAAATTAGAATTATTAATTATAATATAATAGTTTAACTCATTGTTAACTAATTGTTGTTAACTAATTGTTTTACGCTTTAGAATCTGTTTTTTTTTTTTAAACTAAAAATTAAAGATATATATAACCATTCTAAAACCTGTAGTAATGAATGTCTAATTATATATATATATATATATATATATATATATATATATATATATATATAGGAAAGTAGATATATTATTTTTAATTTTTAATGATGTGTCATTCCCTCCTTCACCGCCGGTGTATAACATCTATACACTGGCGGTGCATCAAATATTAATCCTTTATGTTTCTATCTGCAATATAAATTGCAGTTCTTTATATGTATGTGCTGAAACATACTCAGTTTGTATATATATGTAAAGAAATTAAGGTAAATTTTACCATTTTAGGAGATTGTTGCCTGTGTGTGTTTGAATGTTCTGTGAGTCTTCGCAATTTGGAATTCCTTTGCTATAGGTTGTTGACCAAATGACTACACCAGTATAAACAAATAATACAAAGCTCATATTAGTACCAAACAATGAAACTTAACTTAAGCTCATATTAGCATACAGGAACACTGGATGCAATTATTAGACAAACACAGAGATAATGTCCTCTTTAATTTTTTTTAAATTCTTACTGTTAAAAAAATTTATCTTTGTATTCCAGCAAAAAAAAAAAAAAAAAAAAACAAATCTTATGCACGCAATTAGATAAACACAGATGCATATTTCAGATCTCAAAATATAAAATTTAATTTCATATTATTATCTAACCCTATAAAATTGGATTTAATGGATTGTGAAATCAAAATATTTAGATCAAAAAAAAGAAAATAAAGATTATAAGCATTACCATTGAATTTTTTCTAAAATCACGATTTTGAAATTTCGCGATATAGGTTTCTTCGTCCGAAAACGGTAACGTCCTCATAATCAACTGCTTGTAAGCACCAAAACACTTAACTATTGTTTAATTTTTGGGTCTTTTGGATTCTTTGGTAAGTATACAGAGTATTTTGGGTTTTATTTTGGAAAGATGGAGTGAAATTGCTAAAAATCGAAGTAGATGGAGGGATCTGGACAGAGTAGCTAAACAAGAGAGATATACAGTACATGCAATGACAGATGGAGAGGAAGACGACAGAGAAGAGATCAGAGGGAGACAACGAACCCATTTTTTCCGTTGTGGTGTACTGGTGTTGTTAGGGTAAGAAGTGAGACATGTGGTCTCTAAGATGGGTTATGTCAAGCATGGGCCTGGTTGGTTGGATTTTTATATTGGGCTGCAAATTTGGACTGGATGTAGGAGTTTATATAACAGACATAATAATATGTATATAGATGGATTGGTCCAGTTAAGTAGAAATCAATCCTTATTACATGGATTTTATATTGGGCTGCAAATTTGGACTGGATGTAGGAGTTTATATAACAGACATAATAATATGTATATAGATGGATTGGTCCAGTTAAGTAGAAATCAATCCTTATTACATGGAACATGGTCCACCCAATTATGTGGACCATAAATAAAAAGTATATTTTAAATATACTAAGGGTACATTATATATGTATGTAAGATACTTTCAATATAAAAATAATGTCATTTTAATATATTAAAAATGTATTTCATATTCATGATCCATACAATTATGTGGACCATCATTCACACAATAAAACTGTCAGGGGAAATTATTATCATTATTATTATTGCAATTATTATTATTATTATTATTATTATTATTATTATTATTATTATTATTATTGTTGTTGTTGTTGTTGTTGTTGTTATTGTTATTATTATTATTATTATTTAGATTATATACGGATAGGTTAAAAAGAGGAAAAACAAAAAAACTTGACCCTATGTTACATCTTACAGGTGTGGCTAAGCAAACATTTTTAATATAGATATAGATTTGTTTATAGTCACTTTTAAGATTGTAAATATATATTGCTCTTTTTTTTTCATATATATATATATATATATATATATATGTAATTTTAAAACAAATAAATTTAATAATTTAACTAAATTAGTATAAAATGTTTATTTCCTTTGTAACTATAATATATTTTATTTGAAGACAACATTAATGTCATACTTATAAGTAATTGAGTAACAAGTGTGGCTAATCAATATTAGATTATGAGATGCTCATTTGAAGCTATACATTATTTATTATTGTTTTTGATTTAGAATTCTTGATAATTTATTAAATGTAATGAATCATGTATTTGTTTTAGTGTAGAGTTGTATATTGACATTGGAGATCCAGTTTTTAAGTGCGTTCATTGTAGTGCATTTTTTTTGTCCGAGGAGAAACAGGGAAAAAAAAGTAAAAGTTAATGGTGGCCCAAGATTTTTTTTTTTTTCATACCGTGCAACGCACGGGTGGAGTACTAGTTTGTTTTAAGAACGGGGCCACACAAAACTAAAAACAGGCATTGAATTGGTTGATCATACAGTTCGGTTGTAACTTGTAACCACATAAGGTTTCAAGTTTAATTCTCCGTGTGAATTGTCTATTGACATTTTTGGTTTGAATTAGTTATTGGTATGAGTAATATAATCTAGACTCAAGATGTTTTTAGTGCTTGAATAGAGCTTTTTATGGTGTTCTTAAACTACTATAAGACTTAGCTTGCTCTTTTCTTGTTTACTTTAATTTACATTTATTTTCCAACAGATTCTTATATTACTTAATCATTTCACATACATACATACTAGTGCGCTACAAAAAAAATTACGTTGTGCACTTAAACATTGATAAAGTTTTTCAGTGATTATTTAGTTAAAATTTCAAACATAATCTTTCTAGTATTCTTGAGAATTAAGTCTACCGCCAAATTCTCTCTTCTTTTTGATTATATGAATAAATTTTTGATCTTGTATGTTATGCATTACTAGTGAAGACTTATGTGAGATTCTGGTCATAGTTGTTTTGATAGAACTTGTCTCATTACTCTCTAAGTGATGTTTAAAATTTGCATGTTTTGAAATGATTTAGGTCATTTTTGTTTAGCCTAAAACTTTTAAGCTTACCATTGTGCGCAGTAAGCAAATGTCTAGCCTCTGTGATTCATGTTTAGTTGAGTTACCATATTTACATCCTCCCAGATGCTCAGTTGGGGTCCAACCTTTTGAAAAGAATAATTATATATTGATATTGGTATGGATGGTAAAAATTTGAATGATGAAGTCTCCTATCTATTGAACTTACATTTTGAGATATACTTTTTCCTTAAATTTGATTACCCATATATATAATATATCATCAATTCCGTAGTCAAATTTATCAACCTTCCATATATAACCAGCGCCTACGACAGTCCAACGTCAAAAGTTTCACATGGCCACGATAACATATATATGCTTCTTAGCTAGCTTCTACACTTTGTTGCCGATAACATATATGGTTCTCATGTAACGATTTCCCTAATTATTATTATTATTATAACATTGTGATAAGTTATGACAATATTAAGTATTTAATGTATGGTGCAACACTAATAACTTAATAGCTAGACTAGCATTATGATTAGAAGTTTGGTTAAGGTTTAGGAGACCTAAAGACATACAACTACAATAATGACCAGTGATTATATAAGGTCACTAGTCCTCTCACTGCTCACATTACATACCTCATATACCATCTAGAGAGAGCTGAGTAAAAGTGAGAGACAAAATACTCGTGTTATCTTTGCCTCTGCAGCAGTTCAGATCATTCAACCATCATCAACACAAGAACTATGGCTGGAGGTTATTACAATCATGTTGTCACATATTATAGATTGCATGTGGCGTATTTTATTCTTACATCTCAATCTTAACATAATTCGATTTCTAGTGCTGAAGTGGTCGGTTTCCATTTACTCATGCCAACAAATGTTCAGATCAAGTGATTATCTCTATATCAAAAGTTATAACTCATAGCGAATGCGCAACTTGACTTCTCTATATACTGTCATCACATAATTCTCGAGATGTAGATTGCTTGATTTGACCTTTCAACGGCCTCTGTCCAAAAATTATCCAGCCACCAATTCTCGGGTACATATTTGCGGAGAAGTATATATGGAGCTACATACGCTTATTGAGTTAGTAAACACGGTTGGTTTTGTTCAAAATATTAGAAGTTTGATTCCCGTTAGTTGCTATAATTAAATACTCCCTTGTTAATCTTACAATTTTTATTTTTAGATTATTGATCATATACTTTGATCTCCAGACCCTCTATTCCATTCGTTAGAGATGCATACAATTCAACAAGGAGATTAATCACTGTATTTGATGGTGAAAGTACACAAAAGCAAAACAAAAACAAAAACCAAAAAAACATTTCATAGAGTAAGATGGTGTTACTTGTTATAGGGACAAAATAAGTGGATTGCAACTAAAAGGAAGTAGAACACAAGTTTCATCTTAAAAGATCAAAAATTTAATTTTTATTAATATTTTTTTATCAAGTTCATTTCATATAATTTTTTTAATTTACTAATTATTATACAAGAGTATTTTTTTGAAGATATTACACAAGAATATTAAGTTAGAGATTAATTTAAGCTATAAGCATGATTTATGAAATACATATTTTTGAATAGTTGTTTCTGTTCCTTTGTTTAAAAAAAAAAAAAAAAGATTGTAACTAAAAGGAATTGAAGTAAAGTATGATATGGGAAATCCGTGTCATACAAGTTTAGTATGATTTGCACATTCAGATCGAAAATGGGAATAATGTACGTGTGATGCACCTTCAAATTTATCCACTCACATAGTCTAGGTGTGATGCACCTTCAAATTTATCCACTCAAAAGTCACAATCCAGTTTTGGGTGGAGAGCTAGACTGCCATGGGGTGGATCCTACTATGTATCCCTTGATTTTGAATGAAACCATGGCCAGTGGAACAGTTCAGATTTGCAGCCTCTAGCTAAAGCTTTTGAAGTGGAGGTTAGGGCTGCCATATGGATGATCCTTCCATGGGAAATGATTTCATATGCTTCTGTTTGCAGAGATTGGTCCTAAGATGCCTGGTCTCTGTCAGTATTGTGGGCAGAACAGAGATGAAGTTTGAATGATGCAGAGGAGAGTAGTGTTATGAGGCTTTGGGTGAATCTGGTTTGTAGCAACACTCCAAGGCTATGTTAGTGGAGGGGTGTTGATATCTCTTGAATAGAGGTCCTCAACCTGGGAAGGGAACAGGAGCAGGACAGAAAATGTTGAAGTAGCCTTCAGGACTTGGTTGCAGGTGAGCTACAGGTTTGATGGGAAGCTGGGCATTCTGCAGTTCCTGATCAAAGCTTTTAAGTGGAGATTGGGACTGCCATGGGGAGGATCCTTGTATGGGAGATGATTCCACATGTGCTGAATAGGATGATGGAGTGGATTCTTGTAGCCCAACTCAAAGCCATTTATGGTGGAGTTTTGGGTTTGGACCTCACACTGGGGAATAAAGCACCATGAGATGGGAAAACCTGGAAGTCTGAAGCTAAGAGAATAGAGGAACCTGAACAGTCTGAGTAGCAGAATGGGATAAGGGGATTAGTCTGAAAGTTCTGCTCTTTGTAGTCTAATCCAAAGCTGTTAAAGTGGAGGTGATGACTACCTTGGGATTGATCCTAAATGGGGAAATGATATCTCATGGTTGAGATTGGTATAATCTTGGCCTGAAACTGAGGTGAGGTGAAGGGAAAGAAGGAGCAGACATGCAGTTTGAAACATAAGGCTTGATGCACCATGGCTCACTTTGGGATATAAAGTAAATGCAAGGCAGCCCAGTTTGAAACTTGTATAAGTGGAGAATTGGGTGCCCATGGGATTGATCCTTCTATGGGAAATGATATTCCATGATGTGCAGGCTTGGTCTATGGAAGAAATTAGTTTGCAGCATGAGAATTGCAGCTGATGAAGAACTGATAAGAGTCACAGTGTTGGTGAGAAGGGTGGGAGGAATACAGGGGCTTTGTAGTCTAGTTTGAAGCCTTTAGGGTGGGGAGCTAGACTCCCATCATGGGAGATGATGCCCTATGTCTAAGCTCATGATGTTTCGAGTTTAGGAAATAAGCAGCTTAAGAAGGCAGGGATTGGGGCCTATGGGAGGTATTATCATGCATGGTGGACCAATGGAATTTTATGGACTTGGGTTCGACCATATATGAAGAAATAAGATGATTTAATGGGGGAGTTGAAGCTGATTTAATGAAGAGGCTGAGCTATGGTTTTTTGGGGCGATCGGATGGAGCTAAATAAGGCAGACGTTATGCCATGGAACCGTGTTCACCATTCATGGTGAACACGGTTCCAACGGTGTTAGTACACCGTTATTTATTTATTTATTTTTTTTAATTAATTGCGTGACTTTTCTTCTTTCTTTTCACATTTTGCGGTTTCACTTTAATTTGAGATGAACAAAGATTTTGGACATTCATAAATTATGAATTCATGCCTGCACATTCACTTTGGAACCATGCCTACACATTCCCGTCCGAAATCACGGACATTCATAAATTATGAATCCATGCCTGCACATTCACTTTGGAACTGATGCGTAGTATATTTGCAAACAAATAATTCTCGGAGTACGAGTTATCGATCCACAGGGAAGTGGTTGTATCAAGCACTAGTTACTAACTTATTCATTAGAGCTAATCCTAACAATTACTTAGATGATTGATTGGCATAAAATAAATAAAATAAAACAGAGGTTCAGGATTTTGAAAACAATTAGAGAGAAGTTGAGATTCATGGGATTCAAGTATTTAATCACCTAGTGCCAATTATCGTTTGCAATATTTAGTTTGGAATTAAGATTTGTGTGGGAATGCAAAGTGGAATCGAATTACTCCCGTAATCTCTATTCCTAGTGAATTTCCACTCCCGTGGCTTAAACACCCAATAAGATCGAAGATCGGCATTCAATTATTCCTAATTACTACCATCTCCCGATTGGCAACAATCTAGAATAAACTTCCCCTAATAAGTTCCCCTTTCCCAAGGTCCAACTATTAGGTGCAATTGTGTGTACCCTAATTTATGCCCCAACTCCCATTGGTGACACAAACATGGCTATGAAGCTAGTAACTATGGCCATTAATTACAAGCATCAAACAATATTATCACGATTGCAACACAAGTATTAAACCCAAATAATAATATATTAAAGAAACTGAGAGCTCAGGCACATAGGTTCATAAACACTTTTACCCAAGAATCTCTAAAGAATTTAGGCAAGCATGACTAAATTATACATATATAGCAAATATAAATAAAGACTTACAAATCATCAAAAGAGTACAAGAATTAACCAGACGATTTTCCCAAATCTCCCTAGTCTTCTTCTTGCTTTCCAAGACAACTTGTGGCTCTTGATTTCTCTCCTTCTTGTCTCCAAGAATCTCTGAATTCTGAATTCTGGACTATACAATTGTCTATTCTAATTATTTACTCTAAACTAAAACTCATTCTTCTTAGGGTTGAGGAAGGTGGGATTTTATAATAGGTACAAAGTTGGGATCAACCCTTGAGAAATTAGGAATATTCCTATTTAATAAATAAGAAATTGACGTCTTTAATCATTTGATATTTCTGCCATCATATGATTAGGAAATTACTATCCTTTCTTTAGCTTTGGAGAATGCCACTTTAAATTAGGAAGTTTCTAAAATCGCGCCCAGTGCAATAAGTACGGTTTGCAAGCTTATTTTGACCCTTTTCTATTATTATCTAGACTTTGATGTCTTCATAAGAGTTGTAGCCCTTCGAGTCTTCTTTCCAATGACGCAAGAATCACCTCAATCGGACATTCCTAGCATGAGATATGATCAAAATACTAAACTGTCGCCAATCTGTGCGAGATGAAATGTCACTGGAAATTTTCGACGCGTCGAGCCTGGGGCTCGACGCGTCGAGTTTTCTGCTGAGTCACAGGTTGTAGCCCTTCGAGTCTTCTTTCCAATGGCGCAAGAATCACCTGAATCAGACATTCCTAGCATGAGATATGATCAAAATACTAAGCTGTCGCCGAATTCAACGGGAATTACAACTCTTCGGTCTTTTGATTCACTTTTGACTCCAATTTTGTCCTAGGACTTCCCTTGCTCATAACTTTGACCTACAATGGTTCAAAAACACTAACAAACACCGTAAAACATTCAAAATAAGTGTGAACCATAATTAAATGATAATAGCAAGGAAAACATGTATTAAATAAGCAAAATTAATGAACTTAATTACAGAGATGATTCAAAATAACTATAAAAACAAGCACATATGTGATAACATCAGGAACCATGCCTACACATTCACTTTGGAACCATGAGATTATGAATTTTCTGTTATAAGATTATGAATTTTCTGTTATGAGATTATGAATTTTCAGTTATGAGATTATGAATTTTCTGTTATGCGATTATGAATTTTCTGTTATGAGATTATGAATTTTCATTACATTCATAATTTCGGACATTCATAAATTATGAATTCATGCCTGCACATTCACTTTGGAACCATGCCTACATATTCCCGTCCAAAATCACGGACATTCATAAATTATGAATTCATGCCTGCACATTCACTTTAGAACCATGCCTACACATTCACTTTGGAACCATGAGATTATGAATTTTCTGTTATAAGATTATGAATTTTCTGTTATGAGATTATGAATTTTCAGTTGTGAGATTATGAATTTTCTGTTATGCGATTATGAATTTTCTGTTATGAGATTATTAATTTTCATAAAATTCATAATCTCATAACAGAAAATTCATAATTTGATCAAACGCGCGCCCGTTAACTCCACATCCGCGAATATTTTTTTTTTTTTTTTTGCCTAAAAACGACGTCGTTTTGCCTTGTGTTCACCATTCTCGGTGAACACGATTCCATGGCATAATTTGCAAAATAAGGTTGCAGGCAATCATTATTGTGTGGACCATGGTCTACACAATTTGTGTGAACCATATTTTGTATACTGTAAAATAATATACATTCAATACAAAAATAATGTACATTCAATACAAATATAATGTACATTGTATTCAGGGGATGTACATTATTTTTGTTCTGAGTGTACATTATATTGTATAATGTACATTCAATATAAAAATAATGTACATTTAGTATATTAAAAATGTACTTTTTGTTATGGTCCACATAACATTGTATGGACCATGGTCCACACAATAATTTGCCGGTTGCAGGGCCGATGAGATTTTGAAGATGGGCTTGGGCTTGGCCGTGTGGAGGCTGAAAGGAGAAGCTAAGGGCTTTTGGTGATTTAAGGCCGAATGGCCTGGGGTGTTATATAAGGCCGAAGGGCCTTTTTCTTGTATGAGAGATTGGGCTAATTTAATTAATTAGCCCAATGAACTTTCAGATGGATTAGGCCATTGTTTGTTTTGTTATGGCATGGGCCACTAGAGGAATGGGCAAAGCCCATCTGGCTTATTACGGCCGTGGGTCGGTTGGGAGGAGGCCATTATGGCCGGTTGTGGAGGAGGGCCTTATGGCCGGTTTTGAGTTTAGAAGGCCGAAGGCCTTGGTTATTCTTAGGCCATATCGGCCTTGTTTGGCAATTTATATCCTACACCACGGCGCGCGTTGCACTATGCGCCCAGATGCAAAACGACGTCGTTTTAATTATTTTTTTTTTTGAAATTTTTCGCCCCAGTGAATGGCAGTAGTTTTTTCTTAAAAAAAAAACCCGCTGTTCAAGAATGTACATAATGTTATACTAGAATACACATAATGTTATACATGAATGTACATAATTATATAACAAAATATACATACTTTTTTTAAAAAATAATACACATAATCTAACATAATACATAATAAACATAAACTTTTAACATAATACACATCAACTCTTAACATAATACACACAAATTTTCTGATTCGGATGTACATAATTGTATAAAAAATACACATAACTGTATGAACCAATACACATAACGTTGTGAACAAATACACATAACGTTGTGAACAAATACACATAATCTCAGCAACTTCCTACGCGCCTCCCAACACTACCCCAAAACGACGTCGTTTTGGGAGGCGCGCGGCGCACAGTGCTATGTGCGCCTGGTGTAGGATATAACGATTGGCCTTGTTTGATTTAGGCCTTGGCCTTTTTTGTTTTATACATGTTTGAGTTAGGGTGGTCACTTTTGGGCCACCCTTGTACATATCATAATCTTTGTGAGCCATGGTTCACTTTTGGGGCCATGGCGTCTTTATGTAGGCTTTTTGCTCTTTTGAGATATGAAATAAATGCACAGTTAAAAAAAAAAAAGTCACAATCCCCTCACATAGTCTAGATGTCATAGAGTTGATTCTGATACCAAATTGAAGCATGTGCTCCCTCCCGACTAGAAGTCTAAGGTTGATAGCTGGATTGTATTTTTTTTTTTTTTTTTTTTTTTTTTTGAAAGTTACTGGCTCTATTACATTGTAGTATCTGTTCATATACTTTCTCAACCTACTGAAACACAAAGAACCAATAACGCCTCCACTGAGGCTTGAACTCATAATCTTCCAAATGGAAGTCCAACCTGGGTACCATTAGACCATATAGTCCTGGTGATAGCTGGATTGTATATTTATGTTTATATATTATATTTTCAACATGGAGGTCATGTTGAAACTGACCTTTCCGATGAAAATTTAAAATATTCTTGGTTTGATTTCTTTGTACTTCTGGTCTTCCATAAGATCATAACTTAACCAAGTAATTATTGAATTAATTTTGTAAGAAAAATATTATATGGAATCTTATTTTTTATTCTGACTTACAAATTGTTGATGTATCCATTTTTTCTGAGATCCACATAATGAAAATATCATATCATTATTTGTTATATTATAGAGTAAAA